CTTAAAAACGGGAGATTTGAGATCGGCCTGTAGTTGTTCATTTGTGTCTTGTCAAGATTGTCCTTTTTCAGTATAGGTTTGATTACAGCAGTTTTTAGTGATTCTGGAAACACACCTGATAATAAAGAAAAGTTGACGATCTGTAACAGGTTTGACTCTAAAGTCTTTGAGACCTTTTTGAAAAAACTTGTTGGCAGGACATCTAAACAGCAAGAGGAGGAGTTCAGTTGACCTAAGATGTCCTCCAGGTCTTTGCTGTTAATCGGGTGAAACTGTTTGATGGTGTTTAAACAGTTTTTCGGTGGACACAGTACATATCCTGGATCTGCTGTTGATGTACCAATTGCTTGTCTAATTTTTTGGATTTTTTCAGTGAAGAATTTGGCAAAGTCATTGCAGGCCATGGTCGAATGAAGTTCAGCTGCCACTGACACAGGAGGGTTTGTTAGCCTGTCGACTGTAGAAAATAAGACCCGAGCATTATGGCTGTTTTTAGTGATGATGTCAGAGAAGTAGGACCTCCTTGCACTCCTCAGTTGTAAATTATAATTGTGAAGTTTCTCTTTATAAATGTCATAATGAACCTGGAGGTTTGTTTTTCTCCATCTGCGCTCAGCTTTCCTACACTCTCTTTTTTCATTTTTCACCAGTGTGGAGTTTCTCCATGGAGACTTTTTCCTTCCAGAGATAACCTTCACCTTAATGGGAGCAATAGTGTCCATTACATTTAACATGTTAGCATTGAAGCTATTGACGAGCTCATTGACTGACCCTCTGGGCAGGTCAGGTGTTAATGGGAAGACCTGGTTAAAAATTGCACTACTGTGTTCAGTTATACACCGTTTTGTGATCACTGTTGTTGATATATTTGTGTGGGCTGAGATTTTACTTTCAAAGAAAACACAGTAATGATCAGACAGGCCCACATCAGACACAGTAATCTTTGAAATGCTCAGGCCTTTGGAGATCAGTAGGTCAAGAGTGTGTCCTCTATTATGTGTGGCCTCTGTTACATGCTGAGTCAGCCCAAAGTTGCCCAGAGTGTTACTCAGGTCTTTAGTCCCTTTGTCCTGAGGGTTGTCCACATGAATGTTAAAATCCCCAGCAATAATTACACAGTCAAAATCAACACAGATCACAGACAGCAGTTCACTAAGGTCATTAAAAAAGTCTGTGCAGTATTTGGGAGTAGGGCTGGGCCATATTATACCGTTCACGGTAATACCGGTATAATGTTAGGCAACGATAGGAAAATGAAATATCGCGATAGAATGGGAGTAAAACGCGCATGCGCAGTGCCTTTGTTTTCATACGCACATGGCCGATTGTTGAGTGAAACAGATGAACCAGAATTGGTTTGTAAAAATGGTGCAACTTCCGTGATGTGGAACTGGTTTGGTGTTTGTCCGTCAGATACACAACAAAGCACATTTTTTTGCAGAACATGCAAGCGGCCGTTGTTATTGTCGTATTTGTTGGACTAAGATGCTCTTAAATCTGGGAGTAATCTGGGTCCTAAACTCCGTATTCTTCAGGTCAAACAACACTGCAGCATCACTTAGAGTTAAAAACTGTCTAAATTCTTTCATCTTTAATAAAACGATCAGCATTGCTGCTTTACCAGGTGTAACTATAAAGTTTAACTTCCAGGCATCCATGAAAACAAAAGTTATTACATTTAACGGAGTTAGAAGTTAGCAGGAAGCTAGCGGAAGTTAGCTCGCTAGTTTCGCTAGTTACCTAAGCATGATATTGCATGTTCTGACTGAGAGATTTCTGAAAAAATTCAAACGTACAGCTCTGCTATCACTTCCAACATAAATGAAGACAGAAAACTAAACAGCAGTGATGTTTGTAGGGTTACTGAAGTTGGGCTAGCTGGTATATAATGATGTGCTACGTGATCGCTAGCGACACAGCTATGTTAGCATAACATAAACAGTGAAGCTGGAGGACGAACACTAACACTTTTCCACTTATAAAAGTTAACGTGAAGGTTCTTCATGGTTAGAGACAAATGCAATCGCATGGCAGGATGCTGTAAACGGACCAAACTTCAGTCAGGAGAACAACTGAGATAATCCATCCACAATACGAGGTTAGTCATTAATATACTGCAACATGGGAATAGAGCAGCTGCCAGAGAATTCAACATTAATGAATCAATGGTACAGAAGTGGAGGAAGCAAGAAGAATGAGTTTAATAAAGTTTGATTTATCTGACTGCTTTGTTTCGCTTAATGTGCCTTATAATCCCGTGCACCTTATGGTCCGAAAAATGCGTACTGCACACTGCAGTTTAATGTTGCAAAGCACCTCTTTTTAACTTCAGTGGATATTATACATGGTTATGCTCAGGATATGTCAGCCCATTTCTACTGGAAATGCCTTTTGGTTAAACTTTCAGCAAGGAATTTGCATTTGCACTGTTACATTTTTATAAAGCTTTAATGTACATAAAAACCAGCTTCTTGTTTAAGTGAAAATAAATGGAAGGTTGTCTTTTTGCGCTAGTAATGTTGTGGAGTTGTATTTTGTCTCGCATCAATTATATCGTCGGTTATATCGTTATCGCAAATTTTCAAATATATATCGTGATAAATATTTTTGGCCATATCGCCCTGCTCTATTTGGGAGGCCTGTAAACATTAAGAAACACAACTTTGGATGGGGCCTTCAGCTGTAAAGCCACATATTCAAAAGACTGAAAACTTCCAGGAGATAGCTGCTTACATTGAAATGATTCATTAAATAAGACAGCAACCCCTCCTCCTCTCCTGCTCGCCCTGACCTCACTGATAAAACTGTAGTTAGGAGGGGTCGTCTCGATGAGAACAGCTACACTGTTACTTTGGTCCAACCAAGTTTCAGTTAAAAACATAAAATCAAGGCTGTGCTCAGTGATTAAATCATTAATTAAAAATGTTTTCCCAGCTAGAGATCTAATGTTTAATAAAGCCAACTTAAGTGTTTTAGAGGTATTACTTGTCCCCTCGTGTTTGGGAGCAGTCTGTGGCACACAAGGTATGTTTACTATGTTTAAAGATCTTTTAGAGTGCAGCTCTCTGTGTTTTGACCAGGCCACATGTCTCCTGTCACCTAAAAGTACAGAAATTTTAAAACCTTCTAGTAAACAGGGTCCCAGCTTCTCCTGGGACCCTGCAATGCGCAGACACGTTGCTATGACGACAAGCACACAAACAAGGTAATATTAATGTATACTTTATTGATCCCCACGGGGAAATTCCTCTCTGCATTTAATCCATTCACTCAGTGAAGCAGTGGGCAGCCATTGGGCGCCCAAGGAGCAGTGTGTAGGGAACCCCCAACCTTCCGATCATGGGGCCACCACTCTACCTACTGCACTATCCCTGCCCCAAGGTTTGCCCTGCCCCAGCAAACAAGGTACTACTGGGTCGTAATGGCAAACCAGTTGGTCTGAGTCGGGTCCTGTCGACCCAAGTAGGTACTAATAGAAAAAGGGCTACTGTGGCGTGTAGGGGCTATACTTTGATCAGATTCAGCCAAAAGCTATAAAACTGCAAATAGATTGTGATGCAACGAATACTACAAAAAGAACCCAAGAGATTCTCCAGGCAACTAAGAGGAACCTGAGTATTTTTCAAAGACCAAGGCTGTCTCAGCCCAAATAGAGAATGCTTTAGTTAGTGAAGACAAAACTGAAGACAGAGACACAAACAAACAAACAGCAACTGAAGGTGGCAGCATGGCAGCAGTAAAGTCCTCCAGAGCATCTCAAAGGCGGAAACGCACCATGCCTGCTCTTCTAGTTTCTCAGCAAAATGAACAAGTCAAAGCAATTTGTTTTTCACTTCGATTTACGGAGTGTCTTCGGGTGTCTTTGAATTCAGCCATCTCCAGCTGATTAGTTTTATTTCCATCAAACCACATGGAAGCTTTTCATTCCTAATACATTACCCAATCCATATCAGTAAAGAGATCCAACATATTTTTCCCCATAGAGATCGGATGTTTTTTCAAAGTGTTCCTGTTATTTTTTTCAACAGTGTATTTCTGATTACTTTTGTGCTTCTGAATATCGAGTCTGTGTAAAAAAAAAATGGCTGCAATTCTTAAACAGTTAATGCATTACTTTTGTTAAATCCTTTGAATTTAAGCTCAAGGTTTGGACTTACCACATCTTCATCGTTAGATTTGAAATCCATTATGGTGGTGTAGAGAAGCAAAGCTTAAAAATTTGTCACTGTGTAACTATATATATAAACAATATATACTGTATTAAGATGGTCCTAAAATGGTGATGGTCTGGAGTGGAGATGACAACGATAAAGTAGTCTGATCAACCCTTTCTCAGGCCGCGTTCTAGATCATTTAATTTGATATTAAATCATATGTATTTGTAAAGTAGAGTCGGCGAAAGGGGTTCAAAGAGCGCCGAGTCTGCAATGCTGCGGCTATTAGTGTAATCCGAACAGCTCGGGTTATTTGGCAACGACCAAAACATCCAACCTGGTGTCGACAGCACCTCTGTCGCTGTGCAACATCTGGTCTACTTCACGTTACACTAGTGAAAATATGGGACTTGGCAGTAAACCAGACACAAGGGTGCCTTCTCAGTGCACATACCTGTCGGACTCACCACACTATATTACATGAAGGAGGACATTTGAAAAGCAGCACGGCAGCAAACTAACTCTTTAGCCTGCTGAGTGCATGCGCAAAGCTCGCTAACGTTAGCTTAGCTAAGAACAGCGTTCAGTGTGTCTGGGTAAACGTCTAACCTATAAAACCGTGGCCTGACCATGGCTTCCTGGTGGTTTTATCTCATTGTAGTGCAGGTATATCCTTGAGTTGTCCAGCCGCTAACAAGGATTCCCAGTACAAACACCAGTCCCCTAACTACGGGTATGACTTGTACCCACAGTTAGCTGCTGTGGCTATTAGAGCTACTCAAAATCCTGCAGACAACCGGGCTTCAGCCCCTAGGCCTTAGCATAAAATATGTCTGTGACGCTCACCTGTATTCATTGTCCACACACAGTGATCCGTCCATGGCGGAGAAGCACAACAAGCTTCAGTATTTACAGTGAGAAAGTGAACTTCGTTTCGTCGGTGCTCAGGTAGCCATCTTGGTTCTGCCGGGGCCTGGAGTCAACCAAATCCGTCACACAGGGGGAGGGTTTACAATCTGAAGGCCCGCGTTATTAATCCAAGAGTTGTTTTCGTAGACTGAAGACCAAATAAAGAGAACCGTTTTCCTGTCAATTCGGGAAATATCGAATGAGTGGACACACTTTTATTTTGAATAACTGAAGCTACAAAGGTTACATAGATTTGTTTTTGTTTCTGGTGTGTAGCACAGTGAAGTTCCCAGATGTGACCCGCGAGCAGAAGCAAAACACTAACATAACGAGTTTGTTACAAGAATATTGTCGTTTTACTTACTTACTTACACTAAAACACCTCAGTAACGATTACCTATCTGATAATATACATGCTGAACCCTTTGTTTTGCTGTAATCATCATCACATTATCTAATTTGTTCACCCACAGTTTGATTGAGATTCGATTCAGAATACTTTATGGATCCCCATAGGTAGGGTGACCATATTTTGATTTCCAAAAAAGAGGACACTTGGCCCAGTCATGAAGAATTTTAATAATACTGTTTTGTTTAAAGAAAATTTTAACATATTTAAAAGATGCCTTTTCTGTGCGGTTAATGAATGGTGAAATAAAAAATGTCATATAGGCTTTTGCAAGTCAATAAGTGCAAAAAACAAAACAAAAACAAACTTAAAAACCTCTGGAATTAAATAATGTTACAGAAATAATGACTCATCTGTATAAGAAAAATTACCAGTGAGGTACCAGTGAGGTATTGTGCAATGGTTTCTGATTTCTCAATTAATTTTGTTTGCATGCCACCATTCCATTTTCTCTGTTCGGTGGTTACTGAAGTCTGAGAAATGCCACAGTGCTGGATTTCATTAGCTTCAAGAGTGACAACAGCTTCAGTCTTGGTGCGGGCACTGCTGAACTTTTTAGCTGTGTTAAAGTCTGGAAATGCTTTTTTTTTTTTTTTAGCAACACACTAGTGCAATCCATGGATCTGTAGCTATTGTGATGCTTAGAACCTATAATGAATGTAAAGGTTAAGAAACTGAGAAAAAGTGTTCTTGGTCATCAATCTTGAAGTTGCTTCGAAAATATTTTTATTATTTTTATTCCATATATTTTCACACATGCTACAGTTGTGTCGGGGATGGGTGGGTGGGGGCTGGAGCATATCCCAGCTGTCTTAGGGGGAGAGGCAGGGTACACCCTGGACAGGCCACCAGTCTGTCACAGGGCTAACACAGACAGAGACAGCCATTTGCACTCACATTGACACCTATAGGCAATTTAGTGTTTCCAATTAACCTATCCCCACTAGCCTACGTCTATTGCAGCATAACTAAGGGAGGATTCAGGGTCACCTGGTCCAGCCCTAACTATATGCTTTAGCAAAAAGGAAAGTTTGAAGCCTAATCTTGAAAGTAGAGATAGTGTCTGTCTCCTGAATCCAAACTGGAAGCTGGTTCCTCATAAGAGGGGCCTAAAAACTGAAGGCTCTGCCTCCCATTCTACTTTTAAATACAATAGGAACAACAAGTAGGCCTGCAGTGCAAGAGTGAAGTGCTCTAATAGGGTGATATGGTACTACAAGGTCATTAAGATAAGATGGGGCCTGATTATTTAAGACCTCGTATGTGAGGAGCAGGATTTTGAATTCTGGATTTAACAGGAAGCCAATGAAGGGAAGCCAAAACAGGAGAAATCTGCTCTCTTTCTAGTCCCTGTCAGGACTCTTGCTGCAGCATTTTGGATCAGCTGAAGGCTTTTCAGCGAGTTTTTAGGACTTCCTGATAATAATGAATTACAGTCGTCCAGCCTGGAAGTAATAAATGCATGAACTAGTTTTTCAGCGTCACTCTGAGACAGGATATTTCTAACTTTAGAGATGTTGCACAAATGGAAGAAAGCAGTCTTACATATTTGTTTAATATGTGCGTTGAAGGACATGTCCTGGTCAAAAATGACTCCAAGGTTCCTCACAGCGTTACTGGAGGCCAAGGTAATGCCATCCAGAGTAAGAATCTGCTTAGATACCATATTTCTAAGCTTTTCGGGGCCGAGTACAATAACCTCAGTTTGATCTGAATTAAGAAGCAGAAAGTTAGCGGCCATCCAGGTCTTTATGTCTTTAAGACATTCCTGCAGTTTAACTCATTGGTGTGTGCTATCTGGCTTCATGGACAGATAGAGCTGGGTGTCATCTGCATAGCAGTGTAAATGTATGCTATGTCTTCTAATGATGCTGCCTAAGGGAAGCATGTATAATGTAAACAGAATTGGCCCTAGCACTGAACCCTGTGGAACTCCATAATTAACCTCAGTGTGTGAAGAGGACTCTCCATTTACATGAACAAACTGGAGTCTATTAGATAGATATGATACAAACCACTGCAGCGCAGTACCTGTAATACCTACAGCATGCTCTTGTCACGGTCTGGGTCATTTTGACCCAGCATTTTCTGTTTCTCATGTTTTGGTGTTTTTCTGTATTATGATTTGTATGATGATCTGATTCATTAGTTGTGCTGTTTTTGATTATTATTATTCCTCCAGTCTGTCTCTCAAGTCTGTCTTTGTAAATTGTTTCTTGTTTCCTATTTACTTTGAAGGTCCATGTCATATGTTAGTGTATTCAGTTTTACTTCCCCTGTCTCGTTAGCCCTAATTTCTCCCAGCAGTGTCTCCCTCCTTTTTCCCATTCCCTGATTACTCCCCTGTGTTTTTAAGCCCTGTGTTTTCCTTTGCTCTTTGTTGTGTTGTACTTTCTACATGCTGTGTGTTTGTCATGTTCTAGTGTTTCTGTTCCAAGTTTTGTTCTGAGGTGGCTGTAGCTCAGGAGGTAGAGCAGGTCGTCTAGTGATGGGCAGATGAAGTTTCATGAAGCACTGAAGCTTTTCATCCAGTTGGTTCACCCCAGCGCAAAGCGTCTTGAAGCTTCATTTGCTTTAGTAGGACACCTACTGGACGTGAAAATATTAGTTGGCATGGATTTGAAGAGTGTGGCCTTTTGCACACAGCCTGTAAATGTCAACAACAAAAGGAGTGTGTAAAACATGTATATTGTAGTGATGGCAGTATACTGTGTATATTTATACCAGCAGTATGGAAAATGATTATGGGGCGATTGTGGCTCAAGAGTTGGGAGTTTGCCTTGTAATCAGAAGGTTGCCGGTTCGAGCCCCGGCTTGGACAGTCTCGGTCGTTGTGTCCTTGGGCAAGACACTTCACCCGTTGCCTACTGGTGGTGGTCAGAGGGCCCGGTGGTGCCAGTGTCCGGCAGCCTCGCCTCTGTCAGTGCGCCCCAGGGTGGCTGTGGCTACAATGTAGCTGCCATCACCAGTGTGTGAATGTGTGCGTGGATGACTGGATATGTAAAGCGCTTTGGGGTCCTTAGGGACTAGTAAAGCGCTATATAAATACAGGCCATTTACCATTATTTGGAAATGCGTAAAATGGAAATGATCATTTACTGTGAGGAGTGGTTGGCGTGTGGACAGTGATTAGTGTTTAGGGGACACGTCATTGGTTTTTGTTTAAAAACAACACTTTCTCCACTGTGGCAGGTCGTAGGCCATTTCTTGTTTTGGACAATATTTCCCCTGCTTTTGAAAACACTCACTCACAGGGCACAGATGAGGCAGGGGTACACAGGTATGTCAGTGCTAACTTATATAAGTGAGGATAGACATATTTTTGTCTCTCCCAGTATTTAAGGGGGTCCTCCAGCCTTCCAATATTTGGCTCCGTTGGACCTCAATATTCGCATCTGCTGTTACATTTTGTCTGTGTCTGCCTGACACTCTCATCCAGGCGACGCCACAGGTTGTTACCTAAACAATGAGAGTTTTATGCGATACTAACAATTCAATTTTCAATTCAATGTTATTTATATAGCGCCAAATCACAACAACAGTCGCCTCAAGGCGCTTTATATTGTACAGTAGATCATACAATAATAGATACAGACCCAACAAACAGTTTATATAAATGCAACTCAAATGCAATAACAATAGTACCGTGGGAAACAGCCTCAACAGTTTGTGATGTTGATGGCTGTGGTGGTGGTGTGGAGGAAGAGGAGGTGGTGGAGGCCCTCATTACGGAAGCACATTCTGCTTTCAGTCTTTTTCTGCTTCGCTAGCTCTTGCAGGGCTGAGAAACCAGAGTTTTCTGAACCTTGGGTCCAGCAGTGTCGCAAGGAACATAATGCTCATGGTTTGTATTTTATCCAGCTTCTTTCTCAATAGCATCCTCAGCTTCTGAGCCAATGGATGGTGATTTTTCCATTTGTTCATTGAGGCAATGACCCAGCATAGTGAGCAAAGGTATGACCTTTGACCCAGACTAGAGATGGCACGATACCACTTTGTCCGATACCGATATCATAAATTTGGATATCTGCCGATACCGATATGAATCCGATATAGTGTTTTTTAATCAACAAAAGTTTTTTTTTTAAATATCTTGCTGCATTTTGTGTAAGTTCATACTCAAGTTTAAAACAACAACTACACTAAAGCTATTCTGTTATACCTGTATGTAAAAAAAAAATAATTTCATAGTTCAGCAATACTGATCAATCTAATAAACTTAAACCTACACCATCCTCCCTATTCTGGTATTTTAAAGAGTACTTAGCATAAATATTAAGCAACCTAACTAATAGGGTTCCAACTCCCAGCAACAACAAAAATAAATAAATAAAAAATAGGGAACCACCCCTCACGCTCCACCTCATGATGCTTAATCGACGTAATCAACCTTAATTTGATGCAGTGTGGAAAAAAAATGCACAGCAATCAATTATTTTTCAAGAAATATTAAATAGATTCAACATCTTTCTTCTACAGAACTGCAGACTGCACAGATGGTACCTTCCCAAAGGAAAAAGTACTATAGCTTAATAGGGTATATTAGACTTAATAGTTACTATATACAGTAATTGACTTCTATTCATTTTACATCAAATTAAAACTTTGGGTGTCAGATAATTATTTATTAAAAGCTAGACATTTTAAATGAGAATAAGAAA